GTAAAATAAGGATCTTGCAGTTTGGGGAAAAGTTGTTGGAAAGCCAGTTTCCAATATTTCTGTTTCAGTAAAACTGACTGAATAAAATACGCACACTTTTTAACTTTTGAAAAATTGAGAAGTGTATGTATTTCCCCTTGATTTGATGGATCCTAACAGTAGACACATTTAATGGTTCCATTTAAAGGACTAAAAATCTTGAAAAAACTACTGAGGGAGGGAGTGAAAACATATTCTCCAAAGATGATTTTTTGGCTCTACCTCAACTCAAAAGTAATTAGATAGAAATATTTTTAGAAAAATGAATTATTATTTTATATAACCTGTTAAAAACAATTTTCAATAATCTCTATTAAGAATAATTTATAATTACTGTGCAGTTGGGAAAACTTTTTGTCAAGTTATATATAGTATCTATTATTCAGTCTTCCTAGAAATGGAAAGACTATTACTTCTCCCAATTTCTTGTACCTCAAGTTCAAAAACAGACATTAAATTGATTCTGGTAACTGCATTTTCTACAGTGTCAAACAGGTAGCTGTGCCCTGAAGTATTTAAAAAATTCTAAACTTCAGAATTTATTCAAGCTTGTGATGCCACCAATATTTTACTAAATTAATTGTTTCTCCACATGATGACAAGGCTTCAGGATTCCTAAGTCTCCTAAAGCACTATGAACTAAAGAATTTCAATTCGAATTCATCACCAAATTTAGTAAGAAATCAACATGTAATTAAGTATGTAAGCTAGCATCATTTTTCACAAATGTTCTGTTTTCTTAAGTGTGTTCCAAGGATACAGTTTAAAGAAACAGAATGAAAGAGACTATTTTTCTAGGGATTGATCAGGAAATGAGACTTAATAAACAAAATTAAATATATTGAAATTCACATTTAATTCAGCTCTGTTTACTCTTTGTTTGGTTATTATCTTGTAAACACGTGTTTTCTATGCCTGACATTGAGTTCAGAAAATATATAAAGCTCTAACATTATTGCTAGGAAGACCTGAGAATTGTATAATTCAAAGTGCTTTTTTAATCATAAAATATTGACATACGACATGCTTATTTTTAACCTAGTAATGTATCTTGAGTATCTTTCTAGTTCAATACATTTTAGGAAATTGGGCTATATTCCACAGGACGGATATGTCAGCAATTTTAAAGTAGTCTATTAGTGGCTATATGGGGCTATTAGTGGATCTTGAAAATTATTATTCAAAACAGTGTCTTGCACATATATCTTTCTTTATACATGTAATTATTTTCGTAGGACAGATTCCAAGAAGGGCTTTATTGGTTCAAATGATCAACATTTAAAAAATTTTGATGAAAACTACTAATTTGCATGATATACAAGTCTAGACCAATTTAGCCCCACCATCAATGAGGAAAGATGAGAGATTTCTCATTTTTCCACTGTGCTTGGAGTCTCTGCCTTCCCACTAGATGTCTATCTGTCCCTCCATGTCTGCTATGTGATCATGAGGTGCCTGCATGACCCTTTGCCTTCTGGATGGTTTGACCAAAAAGCGACTTTAGTGGGAGATTTGAAGGATAGAAGGAGACTAGGGTCTGGGTACTGATTACATTAGCCCCATCCCTGACAGCTGAGACTGTCAGTGGCTGAGTTCTTCCACCTCTTGCCCCAGGTCTCACCAGTGGCTGTCCTGCCCTGCAGCTGAGCCCACCATGTGTACTGGAAAGTGCTTCTCTTCCTGTGGCCCCTTGGAATACAGAGACTCTTCCTTTTAATACAGTATTTGCATTTTACACTAAATGATATCATTACTTTTGAGTTTTTGTTGAAATAAAAAAATGTAACTATAAGAAAACAAAACATAAAATCTCTGAGAGGAGTCAAAACAAAGTCCTGTGATGTTCCAGAGGTGTGAAATTTCTCACTGACTGGCAAATAGAGAAAGGCTTCATGCAGATGTTATGATTTTAGATGAGCATTTATGGAATATTAGAATCTAGACAGAAATAGAGGGAGTGAATGTAGAGCAAGGACACAGCATGAGAGAAACTATGACAGGCAATATGAAGGTGTCCAGGTTGAAGGCAGCCTTGGTGAGAAATAAACTGGAGGAGAAGGTGGGCTCACATCAAGGAGGGAAGGCACTGATTCTAATTCCTGGTGTCAGGATCCACTTGTACAAAGTGATAGAAGACTTACTCAGTGTTTGATGAGACTAATCTTAAAGCGAATTTTCTGAGTCTTTGAGGTTAGGGGTATAGGATGGAGGATACCCACTCCTTGTCTTGTGAGCCACTGAAGTGTAGAAGTAATATGAGACTGTTTCTTTTGTTTAATTCTGAGAAGCTGATGCTCAGAGATTTTATTAGCTTGACTAAGATCACACAATTAGTTAGAAGCAAAGGTAATACTTGAACCCTAGTTTCTGGAGCTTTAAGTCAAATATTTTTTTCCATTATAATATTCTGTTTCCTGCCTCCTATCCTCCTCCATCTAATCCCAACTACTTTAGCCTAAGCGTTTTAATGGAAATAGGAAATCAAACAGAGTAAGAGAGCTGAGACTTGATACCATTTCAGATCCAGATTTCTTTCAGTTTTGCAGCCATAGGGATGAAAACACCTAGGAAACAATTATACAGTAAACATCCTTTTCGTATGAACCTAAAATGTGATTTTAAATCTTCCAGTTGGCATGGAGAAGGGAGGTGAATTGCAGATATAACCCCCTGTCCAGAATGAATACTGTTGATAATACTATAAAGTTCCTACAGCCATCATTAGATGACGCACACAAATAGCAGTGTTCAGTTACAGAATGTGTGAGTGGAAGAGCACGGGATTTCAAATCAGCTTGGGGTTTATGTTCTCCTTATAGTACCGATGTTTTACATGATTCTGCCTTTCTGGGATTCAGATTCTTTTTGTTTTTTTACAGATGAGTGAAAGTATCCTTGCAAATACCAAGTGTAAAAATATGCTTTACAAAGTGGAAAAATGAAACTTTTAAGAAAAACTACGATTTCTTCAAGGAAAAGGTGGGTTTTGGTTTTTGACAGATGTACAACCTAAATGGCAAACATGTTCAATTCCCATGTGTACCCTGAGTGGGAAGTTAGAATATAACTGGCAAAAACAAGTGGAAAAACAAAAATACCAAAACAAAACTATGGATTCTGAGAGGATTTTAAAGAAAGTAGAAGCTCCAAGGAAGAGTCAATACCTAGCATGAGGAATATGAATAATAAAGAAAATTGAAATTTACTCCTGACGTTTTCAATGCTATTACTTTTATGCTTGTTCGACAGAGCCAAAGGATTTAACAACAGTAGCTCATCTCAGTTCCCTAATGTGAAGAAACTGATGATGTAATTTTCCTACGTTGTTTCCTGAATTTAAACCAGGGCAGCCTCGCCTTGGGAGGGAGAAAGCAGCTGATCACTTCACTTGGCCTGTTTCGTTCAAACTTACTGTGTATTAGAGCAAAAAAGGTATGAGATCTCCATGCCTTGTATTTCTCTCTCTGTCTGGAATGTGGCTTTTTATTATATCTCTCCAAGCCTTTATAAACATACAAGATGAGAAGCAAATAATCTGATTCTTATTTGATCTCTTATGTTATTCTGACTTTAGATTTCCTAGAATCTCAGCTTTTTTTTTTTTTTTTAACTTAGGTACAATATATTTTATTCATATTTCTGTGTGTCTTAGTTTTATGTGTATTTTCCTCTGCACAGTTCTCTAATCGGGGCTACAGCAACACTGAGGTAGGCTAGGTCTGGTCATGGTTCTCCTGACTTTTCCGTAGTTGAGAACTTAATTCTCTCCTTTAAAGATAAGTGAGTTTGGTGAGGCTCAAGCATTTCAACTGGAAAATTATAACTGATATATTCAGGCAAAACAGTTGCTGAGCAAAGCTGCAAGTTTATAGAGTAGGGGATTTTGCTAGTTTTCTAAGTAAATGGAGATGCAGACTTGGAGGGACCCCTAGGCTGTGTTGTAGGACTGCCGCTTTGTGTGTTTTATGACTCAACTGCTCCATCCAGCCCCTTGAACTTCATTCACTCATTAACCAGTGTATACAGAATGTCTAATGTATTAGGCACTGTTTTGGGGGATAAATGGTATCTGCAAAGGAAAAATAAATAATAACTTAATTCTTTTTCAACTAACTATATGTTACATACAGCATCTACAGCTTCTATTCTGTGGCTTTTAGGAACAGGGTTATATTTTCCTTTGCCAAATTTATCCCTATTTACTGTAAAAATCATTATGAAAGGGACCAGCACACTGTTGCTCTCCTGGCCTACCCGCTGCAGCCCTGAACTGCTTTTCCCCAGCACCTGAGCTCCCCCTCTGCTCCTGATGCAGAGTGGTGCTGTTTATTGAACGCAATCATGTAAGGAATAGCTAAATAAAATTGAAATGTGTTAGTGAGGGTAAGTAAGGTGTTAATGGAGAGATGTGATGGCTAGATGGCGTTTGAGGAGATTTCAAAGGACTTTCAATTTTTCAGAGAATTTAAATTATGATGTTAGTATTATTAACAATATTAATACAATATTAGCGTCAGCTACTACTACTGAGTGCCACTGTGTTTGAAAGTGGAGTGGGAGCTTTAGTGAATTGTTTAATTTAACACTCACATTGTACTACAGACTTAATGTGCATTGGTTCCTTTAGTTTTTATAACTTCTTATGAGGTGAGTCCTATAAAATTCTCAATTTTAAGGGAAATAAATAAGACTTAAGGAGTTTAAATGCCTTGTTTCTTTATACAGCTCATAAGGGGTCTACCTTCCCGGGTGTGTTTGATACCTGACCTTCTAATCATTTTTTGGTGTGGTCTCACTGACATTTGATGTCATGATTCCACATCAGTCCAATCCCACTTTTGGAAAAAATAGCTAAAAGCACATGCTGTACTGGAGAAAGGTTAGGAAAGTAATGTGTATATGAAATATTTAAAAACAATGACTTTTATTTTCTTCCCCAGGTGAAAATTGTAAGCTAACCCATGTGCTCAGGGAATCAAACTTCAAGCACTGATTTCATCCTGACGGGGCTCTTCAGTTCAACAAAGCATGCAGATCTCCTCTATGGTCTGTCCTTCATCTTGTTCTTGAAGGCCCTAACTGGAAATGACCTTCTCATCCTCCTGATCCACATGGAGCCCTGCCTTCACACCCCCATGTATTTCTTCATCAGCCAACTTTCTCTCATGGACCTCATGTACATATGTGTGACCATCCCCAAGACGCTCATGGATCAGGTCATGGGAGATAATGCAATTTCCCCCTTAGGTTGTGGGGTCCAGATGTTCTTCTATCCGACCTTTGCTGGAGCTGAGTTTTTCCTCCTGGCTGCCATGGCCTATGACCAGTATGCTGCCATTTGCAGACCTCTCCATTACCCGCTTCTCATGAACCAAAGAGTCTGCCATCTGCTCGTGTCTGGATGCTGGTTCCTGGGAACGGTTATGGTTTGTTGCTCACCCCTAGTAACATGAGTTTTCCCTTTTGTCAGTCCAGGAAAATCATGAACTTCTTCTGTGAGGCCCCAGCCCTGCTGAAGCTCTCCTCCTCTGACATTTTCCTATACAAGACACTTACGTATTTGTGCTGTGTTCTTATGCTTCTCATCCCTGTCTCCATCATCTCCACCTCATATGCGTTCACCCTGCACCGCATCCACAGGATGAATTCAGTGAGGGCCACAGGAAAGCCCTCACCACTTGTTCCTCTCACATGGTGGTAGTGCTGCTCTTTTTTGGTGCCTCCATCTACACCTACATGCTCCCCAGATCTTACCACACAGCTGAGCAGGACATGATGGTGTCTGCTTTTTACACCGCTGTACTGAACCCCCTCATTTACAGCCTCCGGAACAAAGACGTCACAGGGGCCCTGAGGAGCATGATGCCATCCGGGATGAGACTGGGAAAAGTTGTTAATGTGAAAACCTAAGAATGACCATCTCCCTGTTCCCCTTCCTTCTTTCCTCCCCTCCCCATCTCGCATCTCATTCTATTCTCTGATTCCTGAACCCCAACACAAAGTTCTCCCAGATCTTCCCTCCCTGTCATGCATGTGGTATTTCTCCTCCACACTGCTTACTCATCCTGATTTATCTATTATATGTAAGTTCCTCAGAGTCCTGTTATCTCTGATGTAATAGTTGATATAAGAAAGACCATAGGGAGTGCCCTGCATCTTATCTCCTATCCCAACTGCATTGACCATTTTAGTATGAGATTTGGGGAGTCAAAACTTTAACCCTGAAAGTGGATCACTATGAAGATTTCATATCCTAGCAGAATCCTGGAGGGGAATTCGATGTTCCCTCACTTTACAATATTTTTCAAATCATAGTCTTGTGCCAGCTGCTACATTCCTGTCTGCAGTTGTATCTTCAGTAAGTGCATCTGAACACTTTTTTTTTTCCTTCAAATTTTGAAAGTGAGATTCATAAAGTAAACACCAGTGTTTTCAATACTGTTCGGTCATTAAAACTACCTGGATCAAATATCAGTCCACCTTAAATTTCTAAAGTGTTGATAGGTTCATCTAATTCCACAGGTCGTAAGGCTGTAAATAAATGTGGTTGCATATTTAGAATCTTTAGGCTTTAACTAAAATATAAAATTCTCAGAGAAGGTGGAGATTTAGGAAATCTTAATCTCAGCCTTTTCCTTCTGAAACTGGGACAAATAACAATGGTTTTAGATCTGTCACCAGTCTCACTTCCTCTCATGGACCTCATATACATATCCAGATTTACTGCTGCAAATCTACCAGTAGCATCAAATCATTATTATTTTCATAAACAAAATAATTTATTAGTCTAGTGTTTCTTGGATGCAAGAAATTGGGAAAGAAATACATTTGCTCATACTAATGTGCAGCAAGGTGTTTTGGGTCCCAAAGTCATTAAGTTAGTACCACTTGGCACAGAACCCTGACCTTGCCTTATTTACTATCAAGAAATGGAACTTAGGTGTTTCCATCTCTACCGCATTTTCAATTGACTGATAGGCACTTTCCTTTTATAACACCTGAGCTAAATATGTTTGCTTCTGAACTGATGATTATTCCTGCATCGGTGTGAAAGGAGGGTGTCTGAATTTGGAAATAATCCCACCAAGTCAGACTAAAAAAGTAACACCTGAAAAGTAAGATTAGCTTGCCCAGAGATTGCTAAAACTTAATTTTAGAGATCAGTTGGATTAAAGTAAAGAAATAGGGGGAGCAAAACTGCCCAAAGGGACAATATAGATGAAAAGCCAATGAAATCATGTTAAAAACAAAAACAAAAAATAAACCCACTTCCGTTGAGTCAATTCCGACTCAGCGACTCCATAGGGTTTCAAAGCCTGGAAATCTTTACGAAATCAGACTGCCACATGTTCTCAGGCAGAGTGGCTGGTGGGTTCAAACTGCCAACCTTTTGGGTAGCAGCTGAACACTTTAACCACTGTACCACCAGGCTCCTAACCATGTTAGTTATCCTTATTATTGCATTATTGATATTATTAATAAGTCTTATTTATTTTTTTTTTTTCAGAAACGTGTGTTTTGTTTATCTGCTTGTCACCCTGGAGGGCACTACTAAGAAAAACCATAATCTTAAGTTTGAAGCTACCACTACATTGGGGGACTATTGCAATTGATGGAATAAGTCAGAGGGGATTGGATTTAAAGCCAGTCAGTCTTGGATTCCAGACCTGCACTTTCCACTTAAAATCTAAAGATCTGGGAAACATTTGTGAATTTTCATAAGCCCACAGGGTTTCCCTTACATCATTCAAAGATGGGGAAAGCAAAACTTCCTAATCAAGTGGGGTAATATGCACAGACAGCCCATACTACCGACTCTGATGTATTAGTTTCCTTTGCTCCTTTGTACCATTCTACACTCCTAGTGTCTCTTCCCAACGCGTTTGCCTTCAAGTCCTGAAGTTTGGTGTGATTGCAGAGTCAGAGAGGCCTCAGGCTAAGTCCTAGATTTGTTACACAGAAATTCTCATGCTCAGATTGCTTTATCTCACTGCCGCCTTGGTTTTCCTATCATTAAAATAGTACGGTATGTATATTTATATATATAGAAAGAGCCTTGTTGGCTCAATGGTTAAGCGGTCAGCTGCTAACTGAATGGATGGAGGTTCAAACCCACCAGTGGCTCTGTGGGAGAAAAGATCTTGTAATCTGCTTCTGTAAAGATTACAGCCTGGAAAACCCTACAGGGCAGTTCTACTCTGTCATATAGAGTCACTATGCATCAGAATCAACTCCATGGCACACAACAACAACATAGTATAAATGTCACTGAGAAGCTTTGAATACTGAGTTTAATATATAGGAGATTCCCTACCCAAGGCCTAGCCCCTCAAATGGTCTAGATAACTGTTAATTCCTACCACCTTCCTCCTGGGTATGACTGGCTGTTTAGTGGTCTTGCCCACAACTATGTCCATAGTATGTCTGCTCTGTTTCACCGTTGTGCACTCAGAAAGCAGTGTAGAACCTGACACACAGTAGGAGCTCATCAGGGGTCTGTTGAAAGAATGAGCAGTATTTCTGGACGTAGTCCATCTTCTAGTTAGACAGCTCTACTCTTAAGTGTTGCTTTGAACTGCAAAACCATCTTGAACAAAACTTTTGTTATCCTTTTCTCACAGATTGTTTACTCCAAATGTATTTTGATTTATATAAATATTACTCATCCAATAAAACTGTTTTGAAAATGCAAGTAATTCTAGACTCTTGAATCATTCAATTATTTATCCAACCACTTTTGAGTATCTTCGATGCCACCACCTATGCTGTGTGGTTCATAAGGCGTAAAGCAGTGAACAAAACACACTCTTACCTCAAGGGGTCTATTTGCTAGTGGTGGAGAGAGAGCTCTATAAACATGAGATCCCAGTTCATGAGAACAATGAGAAGCCATGAGGCTTCTAGGAGGGAAAATCATCTCTCAGCAGTGATCTCAGGAAAAATAATTTGCCATGTGAAGAGATCAAAGGGCATTTCAAAGAGAGGACCAGCACTTTCCTGAATTTTATAGAAATCATTTTCTTATTTTTGGTTATAGATTTACTACCTGTTTATGCATAGTTAACAATACCAATTGATTTTGGTTTTACATGAATTTTTGTGAGTTGCTTCTATTAATGCTCATTATTCCATTTATAAAATTCATTCACATTGTTGCAAGCATTGTGAGTGTATTCATTTTCTTTGCTTTATAGGGTTTAATTACCTGACTATTGTATTTATCTATTTATGTACTCATTATTGATGAATAAATATGTTGTGTTCAAGTTTTGGCAATTACAAATAATACTGCTATGCACATTTTTGTACATGTTTCCCAGTGGTATCAATTTCGATGCATTCCAGAATCAATAGACATATCCCAGATTCATTTAATATCCTGTTCTTATCCATTTAATTCTCCAGCATCTCTAGTAATGTCCTTTTCTTCATTGCTAATAATTCTTATTTGTGCCTTCTTTCTCATTTCTTGGTCATTTTCAGCAGAGGTGTATCATTATCATTCATCTTTTCAAAGAACTGTCATCTTACTCTTTTGAGCCTCCTGTTGTATATTTTGTTTCTTCTACTTTCTTTGATTTTCATCTGTTGTTACTTTTCTATTTTTTTTGAAAAAGGATGTTTAGCTTATTGATTTTAAAATTAAAAAAAATTTAATCTATACATTTAGGTCTCTAAATTTTCCTTTAAGTGTTCCTTAGCAGTATCCTTAAGGTTTTCATATGTGGAATTTTTATTTTGACCCATGTATTATTTAGAATAATAAGTCTTAATCTACAATCAAAGGAGACATTTTTATTTACACTTTTAATTGAATTCTATATTCAAGCATTGTGAGCAGAGATTTCAATCCTCTAAAATGTGTTTTATAACCCCTTATATGATCAGTTTTTTTAAGTGTTCCACATGGTCTACCATTGTTGGGTGTAGTGTTTTTTATATGTGCTGTTCAAATCTTATTAATTTTTACCTATTTGTTCTGTCAGTTATAGAGAGAGGATAGTGAAATAGTCTCCACTATGGTTTTGTGGTGAAATGTGTTCCTTTATGCCATTTTTTGCCTTGGTTCTTTGGAAAAACAGTTTGGAAGAACTTTTCCCCTAAGCCGTGAAGAGTTACTTTTGCCCTTGTTCTTTGAAGAAGCAGCTTGTGTGGTGGGGTGGGAGAGGGAGCCCCAAGATTGTTTCTACCCTAGAGGGTTTATTGCTTTTGTCCAGGTTTATTGACATTTTCTGAGTAAGCTGTAAACAACTTGATGATCTGATATTTTTTGTCTAGCCTCGGGCTGTAGTCTGCCTTGTTAATTGGTCTATTTTATGAACCTTGCAGGCATTGCTCAGTTTATTCTGCAGATTTAGTGATTTGCGGTCCACTGAAGGAACTGGTCATTTATAGTAATGTTGGGAAGGCCATGTCTTGACATTGATAAGAAGTTTGCTTATATAAGCAGCCAAACGCACAGAAGTTTTTAGAGGCAAGAAGAGAGCAAGAAAGAGAGTGGAAACAAGAAATCTTCTAAAAGAGCTGTAATAACTAGTCAAGGGCCTGTAACACTGAAGACAGAAAGAGGTCTGGAAGAGGACCTGTGACAGAGCCAGTGGCAGCAAGTCCAGAAGTGACTTTAGCAGAGTAGGCAGTAATGGCAGAAAGCTGCTGCTGGGAATGCAGCTAAGAGAGTTGAGCAGTGTTCTATACTGGTTATGAGTTGTGTCAGTTAGCAGGGGAGAGGCAGGTGGTCGGGAGGCCAAAGGCAGAGAAGGCGCGTGCAAGGCCAAGGAGAGTTCTGCAGGACTGACAGGAAGTGTGCATGCCCAAAACGAGGACTGTCCCGAGGGCCCTGAGAGGGAGCCTGATCTGTCTGATTTGTCTAATGAACCAATTTTCTTTTGGTTAGGATTTGTATGGAATAT